CTTCGCTTTTTTACTTTTGTGCAGAGTAACATTTTACTTTTAGATTTAGAGTCCAAATTTTACTCGCCCTTCAGAGTAAAATTTTACAGAGTAAAATTTTACTTTTGTACAGAGTAAAATTTTACTTTTATACAGAGTAAAATTTTACTTATTCCGGCTGTAACATTTTGCTCTTAGATTCAGAGTGTACATTTTATTCTTATTTCAGAGTAAAATTTTACTTTTATGGAAGATAAAATTTTACTTTAGTGCAGAGTAGCATTTTGCTTTTAGATTTAGAGTCCAAATTTTACTCGCCCTTCAGAGTAAAATTTTACAGAGTAAAATTTTACTTTTGTACAGAGTAAAATTTTACTTTTAGATTTAGTGTCCAAATATTACTCGCCTTTCAGAGTAAAATTTTACTTTCATACAGAGTAAAATTTTACTTTTGTACAGAGTAAAATTTTACTTTTAGATTTAGTGTCCAAATATTACTCGCCTTTCAGAGTAAAATTTTACTTTCATACAGAGTAAAATTTTACTTTTGTACAGAGTAAAATTTTACTTTTATACAAAGTAAAATTTTACTTATTCCGGCTGTAACATTTTGCTCTTAGATTCAGAGTGTATATTTTATTCTTATTTCAGAGTAAAATTTTACTTTTATGCAGAGTAAAATTTTACTTTCAGATTCTTCTGGTAACATTTTACTCTTATTTCAGAGTAAAATTTTACTTTTATACAGAGTAAAATTTTACTTTTAGATACAGAGTCTTTCAAAATATAAAGTAAAATTTTACTTTTATGCAGAGTAAAAGTTTACTTCATTTCAGAGTAAAATTTTACTTCATTTGAAAGTAAAATTTTGCTTTATTTCAGAAAATATGTTAGTCCCCTTAGAAAAACATTTCCAACTTGCACCAAAATCCACAACACACAAACTCCCCTGATGATCATCATGCAATCTTTGTGCAAAAAAAATCTAACAACACAACTACATATATCATCAACATTCATTCCCACTCAAAACAATATTCATAGCAACATTCATTTCACTTACATTCCCAGTCAAAACAAAATTCATAGCAACATTCATTCCAACATTCATAGCAACATTCAGTGAAAAAAAATTTAAGCCTCTACTTGTATCATTGTATTCTATCCATAACAACATTCATTCCCAGTCAAAACAAAATATCCTTGTATAATAATCACCAAACTACAGTAAAATTTACTAGAACAATTGACATAGCATTTACTATCTAATACTCTTTTAGTTTCTTTCACTTACAATTACTTTTTCACCGTTCTTTCATTTACAAAAACCGAAATTACAAAAATCATTCACAGTAGTTCCCCAGAACTTGTCCACATTGTCATCCTTGAGGTCTTAGCTCTTGCCCATTTTTTGTTTGAGGTTGAACTGTTCCTCAGTCCATGCTTTTGGATAATCATTCAAAAATTGATGCACTATTGACGCTCGAAAATTGTTAATTTCATCATCTTCCATAGAATTTGCAATAGGCTCATCTCTTATGATTTGGCGCATGATATAACATACAATAATTCCACAATCAACATTGTTAAATAAAAATTAATATCTTGTTAGATTTAGTCAAATTTGAAAACTACCAATTCAAGCATGTAATAGTAGCGTGAAATACTTACGATGTTGGGCGTTGTTGTGGACTATCTTTCACCGAAACCAATTTGCAAACTTTCTTCTACCTCTCTTCGTTTTATTGGCCAACTTGCTATCCACATATGTTATCTAACATCATTGCATAATTGTTTGGTCACGATTAAATTCAAGAATAAAACACAACAAAAAATACTGTTAATATGATGCAAAGCACTTACAATCTTTTTTGCATCCTTAAGGTAAGGATCTTCTCTGTAGTCTCTTGGCCTTAAAGAATTGTAATGTCTCCACTCATCAAGTTCAATGTCAAATACAAGAAGTGTCCAGTGGTAGGGTTTTTCTTCCTTTTTGTTCCCATTGGAATTCATGCAAAAATGAAGGTATCTATATCCACTCAAATCTTGTTGAAGGACTTTATCAATAAAATGATTTCTCAGCTCCCCATAACCCCATTTCACTAAAGACTGCATTTAATCGTATAAGAGTGTCATGTCTCAAGTTGTGTTAGTGACACACTATATGAGTTGGTAAACCAAATAGTAAAAATTAACTCCAAAATACAGTACAATGTTACACTAAACCATAGTAAAAATTTATCAATTCAAACTAAATACAAATTGATGGCTTACCCAACAAAGGCTTGAGAAAAAGAATGATTTATTCTTTTCTGGCTTCTTGACTTGTTGCTCAATCTCAAGCATTTCTATGAAGCTGTCAATGACCTACAAAAACAAAAATCAATTAAATATATGTTAATAAAATAAACTATTTTTAGTTATTAAAGTGAACACTAGTCATTGAAACTTGTATGGCCACTTACATTATTTGCAGTATCACCATCTCTCAAAATTGCATCTACATCATGCAATGTAACATATACTCCATTTCCTGTGCCGGACCATATGATTGCACTAGTCATAAGGTAAAAAAAATGTTGATTAACACGTTGCAGTTTGATAACAGTAAAAATCTGTTGTTTGACAAAATTAAAATGATCTTACTCTATGGTTTCCAAATTGTAAATCTTGTTCAGTAGACACTTATCATTCTCATCAAGCAATTTGCATATTGCAGCCTTATCTGAAAATAAAACCCTTTCAACTGGCTTTGGTTGGCTTACAGGCAAGTTGTCAACACAAATCACTTCATTTGATATCACTTCAATTGCTTGTTTTATGGTTTTTTTTTTTTTTTTTTTGCCTCTCTTGGCTCACATTCAAAATCAAACATCTCTTTTTTCTTCCTCGCTTTGATTTTGATTTTCCTGACCATGGATGTTTGCAATGGCTCTACGACTATAGGTGATTCTTTCAATGTACTTTGAATCCCAATGTTTTGCTCTTGTTCTACTCCTTCAGCATGTGGCATTTCTTTAGAAGCAAAACCTTGGGTAGCCGCATGAACTGCATTTTCTTCAATCTGTTCAACCAACTGTTTATTTTCAGATTCGATTACTTCAATCTCCTTTCTCAGTTTCTCCATTTCTTTCTCTGTGTTGCTCATCTTTTCCATCGTTTCTTTTGTTTTTGCCTCTTGATCCTCTTCTATTTTTTGCATTGTTTCCCTCATTTTCTTCAGTTCTTCAACCAACGCCATATTCTCACTTTTCAGCCTTTTGTTTTCCTTTTGAAGATCAATGAAGTCCTTCAAAGGCTGATCATCTCCTAAAGCTTCAGCTACATGATCTTCATCTTCTTCAGTCTCCAAATTTTCCTCCATGTCCAATGCATCTTCTTTAGTCTCCAAATTTTTCTCCATATCCAATGCATCTTCTTCAGTCTCCAAATTTTCCTCTATTTCCAATGTATCTTCTTCATCATCATTGCAAATGAGGGCCATTTCTTCTCTGGAAATGGGCTTCAGTTCATTGTGATTTACCTGCATTTGAAAAATAGAAAAAGAAAAAAAGCCAGCAATTAAGCAAACTTTAACCACTAGAGTAAAATTTTACTCTGTTTCAAAGTAAAAGTTTACTCTGATTGTAAGTAAACTTTTACTCTAATTTTAAGTAAACATTTGCTCTGTTCAAGAGTAAGTAAAAGTTTACTCTGACGGTAAGTAAAAGTTTACTCTGACGGTAAGTAAAAGTTTACTCTGATTTAAAGTAAACTTTTACTCTGATTTAAAGTAAACATTTACTCTGTTCAAGAGTAAGTAAAATTTTACTCTGACTGTAAGTAAAATTTTACTCTGACTGCAGGTAAAAGTTTACTCTGATTTCAAGTAAAAGTTTATTCTGATTTAAACTTTTACTCTGTTAAAGAGTAAGTAAAATTTTACTTTGATTGTAAGTAAACTTTTACTCTGATTTAAAGTAAACTTTTACTCTCTTCAAGAGTAAAAGTAAAATTTTACTCTGTTTCAAAGTAAAAGTTTACTCTGATTGTAAGTAAAATTTTACTCAGTTCAAGAGTAAGTAAAATTTTACTATGTTTCAAAGTAAAAGTTTACTTTGACTGTAAGTAAACTTTTACTCTGTTCAAGAGTAAGATTTAATTATGTACGTATAATTTTAAACAAAGTGAACCAGTAAGGCTGAGTTTGGAAAGATGATACCTCTTCGGGCTTTAGTGTTTGCAATGACCTGTTCATTAGCTTTTTCCTCAATGTTGATAAGTCCCATCGAAGGAGCCTTGGACACAAATTTTTTCCTTAAGGTTGAATGAGGGTAGTATGCTCGCATAACCAGTACTATAAAATAAAAAATCAAAATTAGTTAATTCTCTAAAGATACATTGCATAATATTTAAAGTAGTTCAATTTACTTACCAAAAGAAGAAGTACACATCTAGTGACATTTTCAGGACTTCCTAATGAAGAATGGATTGACGTCGTCAACGTGGATGCAACTGCAGTCGACCATGCATACGAATTCATCATTTCCAAATCTTCTACAAGGGCGACAAAGGCCCATCCAACTGTTAGACCAGTTGTTGGTAATAGCAAAGTTGCCACAACAAATAGACA